AAAAAAAAAAAAAAAAAAAAAAAAAAAAAGTTTTTTTTTTTTAAAAAATAAACCTACTCCCTTCCTGTTTCACTAGTTTCATTTTCTTTCTTGGCCTTATAAGCATCCAGGACTCTATAATCATTTAAAAACTCACAGACCTAGGGCAGGCACAGTGGCTCATGCCTATAATCCCAGTACTTTGGGAGGCCAAGTCGGGTGGATCACGAGGTCAGGAGTTCAAGACCAGCCTGGCCAATATGGTGAAACCCCATCTGTACTAAAAATACAAAAATTAGCCAAGTGTGGTGGCACGTGCCTGTAGTCCCAGCTACGCAGGAGGCTGAGGTAGGAGAATCACTTGAACCCAGGAGGCAGAGGTTACAGTGAGCTGAGATCATGCCACTGCATTCCAGCCTGGCTGACAGAGTGAGACTCCTCACCGAAAAACACAAACAAAAAAAACACCTCACATCTACTAATGAATGCTTATCCTTTAGGGTAAGTAGTTGCTGCCCTCTGGAAAGTCTTTTTTGACTGAAATACTAGCTGCTATTCTGTGCTGCAGTAGCACTTTGTTAATACTACTTATTTAAGCCCATATTGTCATCTTGCTTAGCTTGCCCATCTCTCTTTACTAGTTAAAACAAGGACTCTGACTCATTTCAGTATCTCCAGTGTCTGAGGCAAAATAGATGTCAGTAAATATTACTCGAATAAATAAAAACTTGAAGACGACACTAGCTGTAAACTGTAGCAGAAACCATGTATTGTTTATTTGTTTATTAACAGGGCTTGGTTTAGTTTAATGTGTGGTCTAAGGTAGATGCTTAGTATAGGTTAATTGGATGATACAGAGTTGCCCTAGATTTTAGTTTATTAAATCTCACATTGTGATAGTGTAAGCAGGAAAAGAGCTTTATGGCTACTTGAGAAAAACATTTGAATTTTTGTGTGTTTGTGAAAGGCAGTTTTTTTTCCTCTCTAGGGTTTTGTTTTCTTTGCCTGTAAAATGAAGGAGTTGGATAATCTGATCTCTTAACTCTCCATTTCCAACATCCCACTAGGAGGAACAGCCATAATCCCTGGATCCAAACTATATAAAGTATAATCTAAGATTGCATCCCATCACCTCCCGTCCTGGCATTCTTATGTAAAGCAGTTCCCTTCATCATACTATTGGGTTATATTAAATCTAAGATCAATTGTAAAATGGCCAAACCTTCCACATGAATTCTTGTTGTCTCCCTTCCAGTCACTGCTGTGCCTTTGGTCTTCTTGAACTTCAGCATAAGACTTATAGGTATCCTAGAGCCAGGTGCGGTGGCTCACGCCTGTAATCCTAGCACTTTGGGAGGTCAAGGCATGCAGATCACTCGAGGTCAGAAGTTTGAGACCAGCTTGGCCAACATGGTGAAACCTCATCTCTACTAAAAAATAAAGAAATCAGCTTGGTGTGGTGATGTGCGCCTGTAATCACAGCTACTCGGGAGGCTGAGGTGGGAGAATCATTTGAACCCAGGAGGCAGAGGTTGCAGTGAGCCAAGATCGTGCCACTGCACTCCAGCCTGGGCAACAGAGCAAGACTCCATCTCAGAAGTTAAAAAAAAAAAAACAAAGAAGACTTACAGGTATCCTAGTTAAATTTTGTCCTGTGAGATTTTGTGCAGCCTTCTAACCTTTTGAGATTTCTTTTAGCTTTAATTCTTCCATATATGGCATTAGCTGTGTGTTCTGTCTTTATGTTATCTACAAATTAGTTAAGCACATAATAGGGACTCAAATATTTGAATAAATGGTCATATATCTAACATATCTTTGCTCAAATAACTAAAGCATCAGGATATTTAATCAAGGGAGAGTCTTTGTCTTTTCCTTTTTTTTTTTTTTAAGAAACAAGATCTTGCTATGTTGCCTAGCCTGGACTTGAATTCCTGGGCTCAAGTAGCTGGGCCTATAGGCACCCTCTACCATGCCTGGCTCTTTTTCTTTCCTTTGCTTTTATTTTTTTTAAGATTTGTATAGTGTAGTAGAAAGACCACTCAACTTGGAATCAGAAGATGTAGGCTGTAAGCCCTTCCTCTTCTGCTTACTACTGTGTAATATTGGACTGGTCACTTACTTCCTCTGGTCTTCAAATTTCTAGGCTGTTTGAGAAGAAAAAAAACTAAAGGTCTCTTAAGTCACTGTGATTTTGATTCAGTGCGATCATCTGGCCTGTTCTTGGAAGTCGTATGGAATTGTTGGTGAGAGTAGGTTGAGAGTCTGGAGTCAGATTGCCTATGTTTTTATCCTAGTTCTGCCACTACTGGCTGAGTGACATTAGTCTCTCTGGGCCTCTGTTTCCTCATCTGCAAAATGGGTTTAATTATGCTGCTTGGTTGTTTTGATTTAGTTCTGTGTGTGTGTGTGTGTGTGTGTGTGTGTGTGATGGAGTCTTGCTTTGTGACATGATCTTGGCTCACTGCAACCTCTGCCTCCTGGGTTCCAGCGATTCTCCTGTGTCAGCTCCCCAAGTAGCTTGGATTACAAGTGTTTGCCCCCACTCCCAGTTAATTTTTGCATTTTTAGTAGAGGTGGGGTTTTACTCTGTTGGCCAGGCTGGACTTGAACTCCTGACCTCAAGTGATCCACCCATCTCAGCCTACCAGAGTGCTGGGATTACATGTATGAGCCACCACATCCTAGCCTTGACTTAGTTCTTAGAACACATTCTGTGGGTGGTAAGGAGTATGTGATTGTTTGCCATCATTATTAGATTTTTTTCCACGTATCATTGAAGACTTAGTACTTTCCTGTGAACTGTTGAGATGAAATAGTAATTGTCTTTATATTTTAATTTTTTAAATATTTTCATATATAGTTTCTCTATGTTGACCATGCTGGTCTTGAATTCCTGGACTCAAGCAGTCCTCCACCTTGGCCTTCCAAAGTGCTGGCATTAGAGGCGTGAGACACCATGCCCGGCCTAGTGATTGTCTTGAACACTTGGACTCAAGCAGTCCTCCTGGGTTGGCCTCCCAAAGTGCTGGGATTACAGCCCTGAACCATCACACCAGGCCTGTTTTTATAATTAGTAATTAAGAAATGTGACAGGCTGGGCATGATACCTCATGCCTGTAATCCCAGTACTTTGGGAGGCCAAGGCAGGTGGATCACCTGAGGTCAGGAGTTCGAAACTAGCCTAGCCAAGATGGTGAAACCACGTCTAATACTGAAAATACAAAAATTAGCTGGGTGCAGTGGGGCGGGGGGAGGGGTGGGCGGGGGCGCCTGTAATCCCAGCTGTTCGGGGAGGCTGAGGTAGGAGAATTGCTTGAATCTGGGAGGCAGAGGTTGCAGTGAGCTGAGATTGCATCACTGCACTGTAACCTGGGTGACAGAGCAAGACTCCATCTCAAAAAAAAACAAAAGTAACAGAAGCCAATGTAGAGGTATATTTAAATATATACCTTCAATTTTCTTTTTTTTTTTTTTTTTAATTATTTTTATACTTTAAATTCTGGGGTACATGGGCAGATCGTGCAGGTTTGTTACATAGGTATACACGTGCCATGGTGGTGGTTTGCTGCATCCATCGCCCCGTCATCTACATTAGGTATTTCTCCTAATGCTATCCCTCCCCAATCTCCCCACACCCTGCTATTCCTCTCTTAGTTCCCCACTCCCAGGCCCCAGTATGTGATGTTGCCCTCCCTGTATGCGTGTGTTCTCATTGTTCAACGCGCACTTATGAGTGAGAACGTGTTTGGTTTTCTGTTCGTGTGTCAGTTTGCTGAGAATGATGGTTTCCAATTTCATCCGTGTCCCTGCAAAGGACATGAATTCATCTTTTTTTTATGGCTGCATAGTATTCCATGGTGTATATGTGCCACATTTTCTTTATCCAGTTTATCACTGATGGGCATTTGGATTGGTTCCAAGTCTTTGCTTTTGTGAACAGTGTCACAACAAACATATGAGTGCATGTATCTTTATAGTAGAATGCTTTGTAACCCTTAGGGTATATACCCAATAATGGGATTGCTGGGTCAAATGATATTTCTATTTCTAGATCCTTGAGGAATTGCCACACTGTCTTCCACACTGGTTGAATTAATTTACACTCCCACCAACAGCGTAAATGTGTTCCTATTTCTCCACATCCTTTCCAGCATCTGTTGTCTCCTGATTTTTTAATGATCGCCATTCTAACTGGTGTGAGGTGATATCTCAGTGTGGTTTTGATTAGCATTCCTCTAATGACCAGTGATGATGAGCTTTTTTTCATATGTTTGTTGACCTTATAAATGTCTTGTTTTGAAAAGTGTCTGTTCATACCCTTTTCCCACTTTTTGATGGGGTTTTTTGTTTTTTTCTTGTAAATGTGTTTAAAGTTCTCCATAGAGTCTGGATATTAGCCCTTTGTCAGATGGGTAGATTGCAAAAATTTTTTTCCCATTCTATTGGTTGCCAGTTCACTCTGTTGATAGCTTCTTTTGCTGTGCAGAAGCTCTTAAGTAAGAAAGCCAGTAGCTATCAATTCTCAGATAACTTCCGACTACATGTGGAAATACTGGCTTGAACCTTTTTCCCTCCACTCACCCTTTTCAAGATCTGCCATTACGGGTGGATCACGACGGTCAAGAGATCAAGACTGTCCTCGCCAACATAGTGAAACCCTGTCT